TATGGCCCCTTCGTGACTGGTGGACTTCAACTCCCAGAATTCCTCAGCCAGCATGGGGGAATTATGGCCCCTTCGTGACTGGTGGACTTCAACTCCCAGAATTCCTCAGCCAGCATGGGGGAACTATGGCCCCCTTCATGACTCGTGGACTTCAACTCCCAGAATTCCTGAGCCAGCCTGGCTCAGCTTGGAAACCCCTCCCTTTCCCCTCAGCATGGCTGGCTCAGGAATTCTGGGAGTTGAAGTCCACCAGTCATAAAAGAGCCATGGTTGCCCATCTTTGCTCTAGGGACTGGGCAAAATTCAACAGCGAGAGATCAGCCTCTTGAAGAAATACCCTGATTGCAACAGGTTGATCCAGAATTAATCCTGCCAGACCGGTTGCCTCATTTTGGGACCGAGCCCCTCGTCGGTTCGTTTGGGGAGTGAAGGCCCGACCTCCGCAGGGCTCTCGCCAAAGGGGATCCCGTGCGCAGGAAAGCTCGGAAGGTTAATTAGGTAGAAGAAGTGAGACAGAGTCTGACCCGAATGGAGGGAAGCCAGAATTGCAATACACGCAGTCCTCTGCTTACGACTGAGCCCAAAATTGCTAAGCCGGACAGCGGTAAAGTGAATTTTGCCCAATTTACAACCTTTTTGCCATAGTGGTTGTGAAACACCGCAGTTGTTAGTAACATGGTTTGAAGTGAATCCGGCTTTCCCCATTGACTTTGCTTGTCAGAAGGTCCCAAAAGAGGATCACGTGATTCCCCCGGGACTCTGCGACCGTCATGACTCTGAGTCAGCGGCCAAGCGTCTGAATTTTGATCACGTGACCACGGGGATGCTGCAACGGTTGTAAGTGTAGAAAGCGGTCCTAAGTCACTTTTTTTCAGTGTCGTTGCAACTTTGAACGGTCACTAAATGAACTGTCGTAAGTTGAGGACTTACCTGTATATTGAGCTGATGGAAAACCTGTTAGGTAAAAGGCAGATTTCAAAGGGGGAAATTTTCAGGGATCGACCCCGGAGGACCCCAAACCCTTTTTGTTCTGAGGACCTCCCAATTTTTCCTTCTCTTTAAAGTCAGCGCAGAGAATTTTCTGATCCCGACTGATGCTGCTCTGAAATTGCGCTTTTGAGATTATAATGCAACACTGAATCTCACAAAATATAGGCTAGAAAATGAATGCATAAAAATGAACATATGAATTGGGCCTCTGCACTAATTTCAGACATGTGGGCAGGACAAGAAGCAACGGATGGAAACTAATCAAGGAGAGAAGCAACCTGGAACTAAGGAGAAGCTTCCTATCAATTAACCCGTGGGACAGCTGGCCACCAGAAGTTGTGGGCGCTCCATCACTGGAGGCTTTTAAGAAGAGGCTGGACAGCCACCTGTCTGACATGGCATAAGGTCTCCTGCTTCAGCAGGAGGCTGGACTAGAAGACCTCCAAGGTCCCTTCCAGCTGTATTCTGATTCCGAAGTTATGCAGACAATAACAACCCTACCTTATTGCCTAAATTCAACTCTCCTGAGTTAATGTTGTTTTAAATGATTAGCAGGGGGAACTTCAGAGGACTAAACACCCCTCTTTATTTCTTTATTTATGAAACTTATTTACTGCTCATCTGATATCCAACGTCCTCTTTAAGAGAAAACTCTCTGGAGCAGGTTTTGGAAGAGACCTTGTTTAAAATATGAGGTCCATTTTCAAAACAGACCATGATGGCGACTCTGGCCTTCTTTTCCACAACAGGCACCGGGCAGGTTCACTCACCGTCCCCAGGGATGAGTAAGAGTCTGGGGGGGCTGGGGGCTGGTGGGGAGGGGGGGCACACCTTCAAAGCAGGAGCTGGACAGGACAACCACTTCCTATTAATGAATAACGGGGCTGGCCTGATCCAGGAGAGATCCAGGGAGCAAATTCCATGGGGCACCGTTTGCAGATGGGGGGAGGGGGATAATTTGCACTGAAAGTGAATCACACTGCACAGCCTTTCACTGCTACCACCAGGGAAGCCCCCCCCCTCACCCGTGACCCTCTCTTTTGGGTGGGAGCTGCTGCTGAGAGCCCAGCTGACATGGGCTCCCCCCTCTCCCCCCCAGCCAGAGAGCACCCAGCTTCCCTTTGTCTGTATGCCTCTTTTAAGGGGGGGGTTGTCCTTGATCTTCAGGGCAGCCCCCCCCCTTGGGCCTTTCACTCCCTTCTTAATATATATAAACATTGACATTATGAAAAATAAGAAGAGAACTGGAGGCTAAAACACCTGAAGAACGGTTGCAGGTAAATCAAGTTTAATGAAAAGAAGGACTAGGGGGGACATGATAGCAGCCTTCCAATATTTGAGGGGCTGCCACAAAGAAGGGGGGGGGTGTCAGCCTATTTTCCAAAGCACCTGAAGGGAAGACAAGAAGCAAGGGATGGAAACTAAACCAGTGGAACAGCTTGGCCTTCAGACATTGTGGGTGCTTCATAGCATATAAGCGATGCTTGAGCGGGGCCCCCCAGGATTGTCTGGGACACTACACACCCTCTTCACAACCTGTTTTCCTTGTTACCTTCTGGGGGGGGCTTTGTGGTATCCAAAGCAGAACATCCGGATTCAGTCACAGTTTTGTTCCATACAGTATTAACGGAGAGAAGGACGAGGGGGGGACAGGATAGCCGTCTTCCAGTATCTCAGGGGCTGCCCCAAAGAAGAGGGAGTCAAGCTATTCTCCAAAGCACCTGAAGGCAGGACAAGAAGCAACGGGTGGAAACTAACCAAGGAGAGAAGCAACCTAGAACTAAGGAGAAACTTCCTGACAGTGAGAACAATTAACCAGTGGAACAACCTGCCTCCAGAAGAGGTAAATGCTCCAACACTGGAAGTTTTTAAGAAGAGACTGGACAGCCATTTCTCCGAAATGGTGTAGGGTTTCCTGCCTGAGCAGGGGGTTGGACTCGATGACCTCCAAGGTCCCTTTCAACTTTATTTTTTATTTTTATTTTTATTTTTTTTATTATTATTATTATTATAACTCCTTTCGGTTATGTATTCAAGATGGGCAGTGATTAATATTTATATGTTACTCATATGTAAGGGTGTACGTCTATACATATGTTGTATATAGAATGTTTTAAATGTGTGTTATGTACGTGTACACTTTGAGAGCAAGCCACTCAATTTCATTTTTAATGTGTGCTGTTGTGCCCACAGTAAAAAATGACAATTATTATTATAATTATATTATTATTATTATAATTTAATTTATATACCGCCCTTCTCCCGCAGGACTCAGGGCGGTGCACAGCGTATTAAAAACAGTACAAATACAAAGCATAAAAATACAAACCCCTGTAAAACCAGATTAAAAAACCGAATATTAGAAGCTGTGTCTCTATTTAAAATTATTTTTAAAATCACCCTAAATAAAATCCTCCCTA